GGGATCCTACACCGAATGGACCACATACGCGACAGTGATCAGCCGAGATCTATACAATACAAGCTGGAACCTTACCACGATCTTGCAAAGCGTCCTCAGTAAGGTTCGGTGGGCAAGAGCGCCAGTGCTCAACCAGTGGGCGGCAAAGGTGAAGCAAGGGTCCGATCGCTCTTCAGCTCCAGCGACAAGCGAGGACCCCCAGGCATTCCCAGTGTTCATGTTTAATCCAGGCAAGTACTCAAGCAATGACATCGAACGCTTCAAGGGAATATGCACGCGAAGAGAACCCGGCAGGGCGCAGCACCAGCTGCGCGAGGGCTCCGATGATGAATGGAAAATCATTCAAGGTCTAGCAGAAGGCAGCATTGTCAGCAGGCGTCTGCCGGATTTCATCAGAAGTATTCTAGACTCTCAAGAGCGGCTGCGTCTGTACAGCACGATTCAAGCGCAGGTTGAAGGGGAGCTCATGTTTGTTTTGAACGGCTATACGGGCGTGCGCGTAAGCCGCCAGCACACACGTGCGCTCCAAGAAGACATTCTGCTCGCAGCCGAGCGGGCTAATGTGAATTTGACGGAGCTGCATGGGTTGCTAAGTCAAACCAAAACGATAAGCTTCAACAGAGTCAAGAAGTCAATCCATTTCTTCTTTTTTGATCGCGCGACAGCTGCGAGGCATGCACTGACACCAGTGCCGTTCAAAGGAAGAGTGTACCGCTTGATGAACGTACACGGGCCCGACCGCGGAACCCCGTGGGAGCGCCAGTTAGGACGCGCTGGTGTTAGTATGAGTCCGCCAACGGAATACGAAGTCCGTCTATAAAACATCACGCGCTTCATGGACATCGGACGACTGACAGCCTTTTTTAAAAAGCACAGTCAGGTCGAAATCGACTTCGAGGATCTGGATGCCTGCACGCCGAACTCTCGCACTTCTACATTGTGGAAAGTAACATTCAAATTAGCAGGATGCCCAGAATTCCAGCGGGGAATCCAACGAATCATTTGATTTGGGGCAAGCATTGTGATCAAGCACCCGGCTGTAGGTCGTCGCCTGTAGTGTCTACGTTGCGGGCAGCTAGGACACACTCTCGCGCGGTGCAACTACACGGACGACCAATTAAGAGGGCAAGGAGGACTGGTGGCTTGTGAAGAGTAGGTGATCAATCTCGTGGACCTAGCCAATCCGTACGGCAGCATGAAGGAAATGAAGGAGGCAGCAGCAAAACGTTTGCGCCTGCACCAGCAAGCGGAACGAGCAGAGGAAGAAGCCGTGAGTCCGACGGCGAATGGCCACGATGTGGAGCTCGGAAGACCGCAGCGAGATCTCGAACCGGCGTCCGATCAGGCAGGAGAGCCGAAAGGAGATCACCACCGAGAAGAAGCCAGCCAGCAACAGCAGGCACCTACGCCCAAGCCTCAACCCAAATGGGTAACAGTCAAGCTGAAAGAAGGACGGACCTTGTTCGCCCACAAGGCAGCCCTGGACCAGAAAATAAGGCCAGCGCACTCGCGATATGACGTCCTAGCTGAGGACGAAGATGAGGAAGATGACGAGGAGGATAGGAACGCTGGAATCGAGCCACCGGCAGATCAACACCAGGAAATCATCGATATCTCATCGGGATCGTCGCAAGAAACCCCAAAAGAGCGTCTCTATAAGGATCTTACCAAAGATGAAAAGAGCCTGTTGCACATAGTGAGACGCACGCCGCCGGCGGTGCCGACAGCCCCGCAACTAGTGGCTTTAAAACAGCGTGAACGCCAGGAGCTACTAACTGTGGTGGAACCGCTGCTACCAAAGCAACTCCTCAACATTCCATGGGATGCGGTGGTCCCCACCACGATTGACAACGTTGAAGTGGTCGAACGGCTACTGCATATACGTGAGGTGACGACACCATCGACGGGCAATTGCATGGCGATCGCTATCGTGCAAGCAGTAGCCAACCACGATCTCGCCGCTCATGACGACGTTCTGACTAAGGCAACCACCTCAATCAAGCGAGGCATCAAACACGCAGGACAGCTTCATATGAGTGACCAGTTCGATCACTACGCAAGGACATTGACATTAGTGAATGTGCAGCGAGGGTGGGAAAACATGCCGCCAGGTGATTCCAAGAAGCAGTTTAAGTGGTACTTGGAGGAGTACGCTGGAAGTGCTTCTGACAGAGACACCATGGTTGAAGGGTTCAACTGGGGTGGCAGTGACCTGATGGCGATGGCAGTAAACTTTCTCAAACGATCAATCTATGTATTCGCGCACAACACGCAAGGTGACCAAGCGTGGAACTGCGTGATGTATAGACCAAGCTCGCGGACGCGATTCAAAAAGGTCTCCGAAACCGGTCAACAGGTTATGCTGACAGTCCAGGATTGCGTCCAACGTATTCGGGAGGACAAGCTGAAAGCACACGCAGCACCACTAGTCCTACGATTTTGGGGGCGTCACTACTCGGCGTTCGTGCACGTACAGCCACAAGGCACAGATGTAGGGAAGCGGGAGGGGACGAAGACGGAAGATTTTGAAATGGAGGATACAGAGAGGATTCCCGGTCGCGAGGACGGGTCGTCGCGATCGCAAGCCGAAGCCACAGCGGAGCCATGGAATCCGGACGAATGGGGTGGCTCGCTAGATGAACTGCACCACCGGCTGCAAGGCATGACGATACCACACGAGCTCAAGTGTGAAATTCAACATATTTACGGGTAGCAGAGGCAGATCGATACCATGAACTCTTGGGATTCCTAGTCAATACCGTCTCGAAACTTTCAGTATAAGAGCAAAACCGTCTCCTGAGCGCCGCCCTGGAGGACGAAGCGAGCCCAACCGTTCGGGAATTCCTTCAGCGGCACCAAGTGCCTTTAGTAGCGTTGAAGCAATGGCAAACCCATGTGCGGGAGATCAAGGAAGGAGCGCTGGACCGAGAACGAGATCAGATACAGGACCATAGTGAGAAATCAACAGGTAGCGCCACGGATCCTCATGACGAGGCCTACGTCCCATCCGGTGACAGGGTCAGCAGCAAACCAAGCCGGCGGAAACCGTACAGGCAGCAGCAGAAGAAGCTGAGGCACAGATCCAAGAAGATAATGCAAAAGAGGGATCACCGTTCTGCTCTCGCTGTGACAAACAAACTCGGCGCATTGTACAGTGCCAAACCTACCGCAGTCGGGCGGAAAAAAAGAAAGCGTGAAGTGACAGAACCCGTTTAATTGTCAGCGCCAGTCGTCGCGAGACCGGACTGGGAACACCACTGGAAATTCTTGGCTCCGGAGTGGGCGGAAGGAGCACAGACGCCGTTCCCGTTGGCCACGAGCAACAACGATAAGTGGCAACGAGCAGCCGAACTGGAACCACGACGACTGATCCGACTTGTTGCACGGTTTCCGTTTGCAACCGACGTGCTGCAAGCTGTGAGTGATGATGTTCTAATAGCATGGACTACGGCCTGGCGGAAAGATTGTATGTTAGCGGGTTTAATCCAGTATCGTGGTCGGACTACCGACAAGTCGATCCACACATGGCTTGATGATTGGACTAAGCGGCTAGCGGAACCACCTACAAAGGAAAAGCGTGCCCCGCCGTTTGACAACTGCGATGACTGGAAGCGAATGCGTTCGCGAGCGTACGGTGATGACTCGCTACTCCAGCAATGCGATTTCGGCCATACACTCAAGCTCGCTCAACATATCTTGTGCGCCATTATCTACGATCCCGAAATTCGCGCGATCACTGGTACGGAAGATGACGTGGAGAACGGCGTACCAACTCAAGTACGGCGTCACCTTACGGCCCTGGACAAGATCGAGAGTTACAAAGCTGCGTATTATGCGGCAGACCGGCAAATCAACTGGGCAGCTGTGGAGAGCTGCTTCACCTCGACATTCGAGAGGGAGGAGCTGCAGCTAGCTCTCCAGAATTAAGTTCTCCTTCAGCGCAGTCACAGAGGGTTTGGTGCCCATGGACACTGTACCCTCGGATGCCTTCGGACGGCACTTCCGCCTACAGGAGGCATTTGGTGACAGTAAACGGATCGCTATTACGCTTTGGTTTTTCGAAAGAATTCGTAGATATGTTACGACGACTGCATGATGGGACTACAGCTCGCTTTCTGGTAAATGGGGAACTCTCGCAGCCGACAGAGGTGCTATCAGGCAGTCGCCAAGGCTGTTCACTGGCGCCTTTGCTTTTCTTGATCGCGGCAGAGGTGTTGGCGCTAGCTATCTCACAGGACTCACAGTTGCAGGGGATCAACGTACCGGGCAAACCGGATGCTGAGCACCGCTTCTCGGCCTTTGTGGACGACTCGACGGTGTTCCTTCAAGAAGCCAAGCAGCTCCCGTGGGTGATGGATATAATTCGGCGCTTTGGAGCACTGTCGGGCCTAAGTGTCCAGCCCACGAAAAGCAAGTTAATGTTTCTGAATACGGCGGTGGAGATGAATGAGCTATATGGAATACCGGTACTCGGGCATGGAGAAACTACTCGTTACTTAGGTTACGAAGTAGGAACTCAGGAGCTATCGGGTCACAACTGGGCCCACCGGATCCGCAATATCAAACGAAGATTAGCAACGGCGGCGCAGATGGCTACGAGTGTATATCACCGGGTAACCATCCTCAATGTGATCATGCTACCAGCAATATTGTTCACGGCCGCAGCGTTCGATATACCACCGTGGGCAGGCAAGGAACTTCGACACCTGCAGAAGCAATTCCTGTGGCGCCATTCGATAGAAACGGAAGCAAGCAGGCATAAGGTCAATCCTGGACTTCTGTACACTCCACGAGGCGCCGGAGGCGTGGGGCTCGTATCGATTGAGGTGGCCGTAAAATCTCAAAAAATGAAACATGCGATGCTCTGGCTAATGCAGCAAGAGGATACGTATTCCGCAGCATGGCGAGCATGGACATTCAGGGGTGGGGAGGCCGACAGTGATAATACAATAACCCTTACGGAAACCGGGCGACGACATCCGAAGACACCTTGCAAAAGGATGCAAGAGCTGCTAGGCGGGTGGCTTCAACCCACACAGGAAGAGAAGGAGACTTTACTAAGGCAAGGTACACGGGACCTGGCCCGGTTAGCCGACCAGGCCATTTGTTGGAGGGACGATAATACACTGCAGATCAGGCTTTACGAGGAACTTCCTCGTTGGCAACGGGAGTGGTCGACTGAAGCTAAGACATTCTGGCCCACATACCTGTATCGGTCCTTCTCCTCCAGCAGCACGGCGTGGGCCTTGCAGACGAGCATCTTGCCGTGTGGGAGCAGCCCCTGCCTCTGGCAGGGCCCCACTTGGCACAGCCGCACGCTCTGCTTGCGGGAGTGACGGTAGCGTACAGGTTGAAGTTGCCCTTCAACATGAGTGGAGCAGTAACCCATGGATTCGAGAAGCAAACGGGGGCATGCTGACAGCCAAGAAATATAACCGGACCCGCGTTTGCACGCTACAGGAGTTGCACATTCAGCGAATAGGACTGGCGGCGTATACGCTCCGGATTTCATTGACGTCGGACGCAACAACGCATCATACGGCTCCGAAATTGTGTCGGTGGGCATTGGCTATTATAGCAGGGTCCCCACCGATAGATATCGCAGAGGAACTGCAGGTGCGGTCAACGGTGGAGCTTCGGCAACCACCGAATCTGCACTATCATTACCATTGGAAAGTCCTAGACACTAAACTCGTCGAACGGGTCCCAGAAGGAACCGACGGCACCGACGGAGGATATTTTATCCTAAAACCAGAACCGAACGGCGTTCACTGGGCTATCCAACAAGCGTATACCCCAACACCCAAGATGGCCGACGAATACGATGAATTAGCAGCGGGTAGAAGAGGGTTGGTGTTTCAAGCTCACCCCTTGTTCCACCGCTTCCCTTGGAAACTGTGTCAAACTGCAATGTCTTGTCTGCAATCAAGAAACTACCATTCAAAGCGTTCAAGCAAGAACTAGGACGCGAGCTACGGTCTGTGGTCGCACGCTTGGAAACAACTGTAGCGGCGGATCCATGGCAGCGCGGAGCTATGCAACAAACACCGAAGCAACTGTGGGCTCACAAGAATTCGATTACGGAATATCAAGTATGGGTAAGTTACAGAGCGGCAACGAAGCAACTCAATCTCTTCTTCGACGGCCGTGAAATGGATGCAAGCTGTCGCAAGCTTCAAAGCTGTCAGCACCGAAAGGAGACACTCACGCACCTACTTTGGGAGTGTCCGGGCGCCCAAGCATGCTGGAAATATCTTATCAGCTGCTGGGGTAGACGAAGGTGTGATGGCCAGCAGCTTCTTCGGTATACGGCGAATTGCGCGTCTCGAGTACCACCACCGTTTACAACAGACCTGCGTCGTCGATTTAGCATCGCGTTTCCCGATC